AAAAGAAAAGTTTTGAATCACAACCCCTCACTATTTAATAATTTTACCCAAAACTATGATTCTATCATTTTCCTAAAAGGAAACAGTGTTTGTTTTTAGACAAACTTTAGTCTCACTCTGGAATGCAGGCTAGCCTTGAAGTGTGGCAATCCTATTCCAGCCTCGGCCTCCTAAATGCTGGGATTACAGGCATGAAGCATTCATCAAGTTGTTGATGTCTTTAAAGCATTAAGACAAAACCAACCTTGGTAGTGGCGCTGCCTCGAATCTGAGAATTTGGGAGGCAGAAGTAGACAAATCTGAGTTCATGGCCAGCCTGGTCTACTTAGAGTTCCTGACCAGCCAGGAATTCAGTGACACTGTCCCCTCCCCTCAAAAAAAAGACAAAAACCACAAATTTTGGTTACCTGTAGCTAAAAATAATTCAGTACTTCCCTTCTCCCCAGAAACAGAATTCAATAATTAAAATTCTCAATATGTAGCCATAACCATGAAAACATTACTTAGCATTATACTTATATCTAACTTAACAAAATACATCCCAGAATCATCTACAAACAAAACATATTAAAGATTACTTAGTGGAAACCCAAAACTAGGGATTTAAAAAAAAACAAAAAACAAACAAAAAACCCTATGTAATAATTAAGATACTATGGAAAAATGCTTGGGTTCTCATTCTAGAAAACCCATGTCTATATGGTAATTCTGTGAGCATTTTATAAGTACCTGCTCACCTATATGCAATAAACTCCTGGCTCAACCTGCTATTCTAAAGGTAAATTTGAGCTAATCCAGGATCAATTTTTATTTTTATTTAGTTTCTGAAATGATTACTGAGGGAGATGAGGGGTTTTTTGTTTTTCCAGACAGTACTCTGTGTAGCCCTGGCTATCCTGGAACTCTGTAGACTCAGAAATCCATCTGCCTCTGCGCCTGGGATTAAAGGCATGTGCCACCGCTGCCCTAGTAGGGTGTCACAACTAAGTCTGAGTAGCCTTCAAGCCACTTCTGTTGTTAAAGACCTTTGAAACAGTCGATGGTATTACTGAAGAGTGAACATCAAACACTGAAGCTAATCATTATTAACAATTCTTCGATTTATTCAAAGCAATTCAGTTTCAAAACTTAAGTTACAGCAGTCAGAAAAAAAAACCCGAAATAGGAACACAATCAGTACTGCCTGTCCTTGTGTTTAACACTGTGGTGGCTTTACTCAAAATACAGTTGCACAAAAGTATTCAAAGTCTCTAAGGACTTAACATACTGTATACACACGCAGTACAGAGAGAGTGATAAAACAGAACCCAGAACATGTACAGAATAGAAAGCCCACCCTTGCTTATTTGCATGAAAATACCACCCACAAAGCTAAATAAGTCTTAATAGTTATCTGGAGGCCCTATTTGTTGTTTTTAAACCCAAGAACTCTAATTTTGATTGCACAATAGATGATTGATAAAAAAGTCAATATAGATTTCCTTTTTAAAAATAAGCATTTATTTTGAACCTGGCATAGTGTGCCAAGAGAATTCCTAGGGACTGAAAGCAGACATTCCTATTATTGAGATGAGTAAAGTGTTAGTCTGTTGGAGACCCCAGTACCGGCACTGAATATACCACACGTTTATTTCAGTCAGATATGCAACCTTGTTATCATCTCTGCAAATAACTTCATACTTGTTATTTTAAAACACCATGCCAAACATCTTAAAAAAGCAACAGCCCTACTATTATGAACAATTTCTGTGTCCCAATAGAGGCAGAACTTCAGTTAATTTATTGATACTAACTTAAAAAAAAAATTTAGATATACAAAAAGAAAAAAAATTAGTAGCCAAGATTTAAAAAGAAATTGCCTAGAACATGGATCCTCTGGGACAAAAGGGACCTGTCTCCTCATGTTTATTTAGTATCCATGAAGAAGCACATAGCCTTACCCCAAATGTTTTTCTATTGTTAGCAGACATCCATGTGAAATAAACCCTGACTTCAATATTGATTTTCCAACAGTCCTCCAACTGACATTATATTCCAATCAAATGCTATATTTGATCACACTTTCAAACTATAGGAAGAATAATTAAAGGTTGCACTCAGAAATGTAATAAATACTTCACAGCGTTGGTATCCAGTCACCTAGGAAAACAACTTAGTAATTAGACTTGAATATAGTTCTCATCAGAGGTCTGGCCTCTGAGGAAGGAGAATGTGCTGCTTTAGCCTAACGCAGCAGGCTCATGTTTTGTCAATGGTAAGCGAAGCCTGTCTCCTAACACTCCTAATGCTCATCACTGCATCTCAACTATCCCACGTCACAGATGGTTGCAGTGTCCTGAGTACCCACTCAGGTACTGAGAGGAATGGAGCAATGGAAGGTGAAGTCAGAGAAACAGCTGGGGGAGAATGCAAATCTGAAACCCAGCCACCTGCTGGCACTGCACCACCCACAGCAATGGCTCTCTGAACTTCCATAAAATCATTCTGTGACAGCCTTGAGCAGTATCACTAAAGAGAACCTCCGAGCCCATAGCCTATGCTGCTGAAAAGAACCCCCCTCTCTCTGCTTCTGCTTTCCCAAACTGTGACAGGAAAGTCCTCAAATACCACCCCAGCCCCCAAAACTGCCTTCAAGCTATCGACACCTGGATCACCTCTAAAAACAAAAATCAATCAGCTTTGTCATTCAAGAGACTATTGCCATTAATATTACAGCTGAGTGTAATTTGTTAATTTATAAATTACTTTAAAACATTATGAATGAAATGCACCAAACTACACCTGTGTAAAAGCAACCATGTTTTAATTATGGGCTAAAAATGTCTAATACATTAAGCATGAATTATAAAAATCCAGATTCTAAATACAGTGCTAGAGAATTTCACAATGGGAAGATGAATGAAAATTGTTTTCTACTTACATTATGATTAACAGACTAGCAAATCTTAATCGGAATGATAAGGCCAAGACAGTAAAACCACACTTTTCCTATAAAAAGTTACACATCATCTCCTAAAGGGACAGCTATCATACATGAAGAAACAAAGACATATGGTCGCTCTACTGCACGCCCAGGAGCGCCAGGCACCCTCATCCTGGAGGGATCTAGTCATCATCTTCCTCTCCATCATCTTCAGCATCTCGCTTCCTTTTCTCTCCCCGAAGACCCTCTTCCTCTATAATGAAAGTATAAAAGACACTTAATTTTAACAAATGAATTTTTGTTAAGTTACAAAGCTTTTAATCTTAGTTAAAAAATTAATAGCAAGAGAAAATAATGATTGTTTCCACTCTGAAATTCCTTCCAATTTCAGAGTATAAGCAGACTCAAGAGAACCCAACAAACCACATGGACAAGCCACAACACACAGGTCAAGAAACTAAGTGCTTGACATCAATGTGACTTTTTACTTTTAACACTGTGGTGGCTTTACTCAAAATACAGTTGCACAAAAGTATTCAAAGTCTCTAAGGACTTAACATACTGTATACACACGCAGTACAGAGAGAGTGATAAAACAGAACCCAGAACATGTACAGAATAGAAAGCCCACCCTTGCTTATTTGCATGAAAATACCACCCACAAAGCTAAATAAGTCTTAATAGTTATCTGGAGGCCCTATTTGTTGTTTTTAAACCCAAGAACTCTAATTTTGATTGCACAATAGATGATTGATAAAAAAGTCAATATAGATTTCCTTTTTAAAAATAAGCATTTATTTTGAACCTGGCATAGTGTGCCAAGAGAATTCCTAGGGACTGAAAGCAGACATTCCTATTATTGAGATGAGTAAAGTGTTAGTCTGTTGGAGACCCCAGTACCGGCACTGAATATACCACACGTTTATTTCAGTCAGATATGCAACCTTGTTATCATCTCTGCAAATAACTTCATACTTGTTATTTTAAAACACCATGCCAAACATCTTAAAAAAGCAACAGCCCTACTATTATGAACAATTTCTGTGTCCCAATAGAGGCAGAACTTCAGTTAATTTATTGATACTAACTTAAAAAAAAAATTTAGATATACAAAAAGAAAAAAAATTAGTAGCCAAGATTTAAAAAGAAATTGCCTAGAACATGGATCCTCTGGGACAAAAGGGACCTGTCTCCTCATGTTTATTTAGTATCCATGAAGAAGCACATAGCCTTACCCCAAATGTTTTTCTATTGTTAGCAGACATCCATGTGAAATAAACCCTGACTTCAATATTGATTTTCCAACAGTCCTCCAACTGACATTATATTCCAATCAAATGCTATATTTGATCACACTTTCAAACTATAGGAAGAATAATTAAAGGTTGCACTCAGAAATGTAATAAATACTTCACAGCGTTGGTATCCAGTCACCTAGGAAAACAACTTAGTAATTAGACTTGAATATAGTTCTCATCAGAGGTCTGGCCTCTGAGGAAGGAGAATGTGCTGCTTTAGCCTAACGCAGCAGGCTCATGTTTTGTCAATGGTAAGCGAAGCCTGTCTCCTAACACTCCTAATGCTCATCACTGCATCTCAACTATCCCACGTCACAGATGGTTGCAGTGTCCTGAGTACCCACTCAGGTACTGAGAGGAATGGAGCAATGGAAGGTGAAGTCAGAGAAACAGCTGGGGGAGAATGCAAATCTGAAACCCAGCCACCTGCTGGCACTGCACCACCCACAGCAATGGCTCTCTGAACTTCCATAAAATCATTCTGTGACAGCCTTGAGCAGTATCACTAAAGAGAACCTCCGAGCCCATAGCCTATGCTGCTGAAAAGAACCCCTCACTCTGCTTCTGCTTTCCCAAACTGTGACAGGAAAGTCCTCAAATACCACCCCAGCCCCCAAAACTGCCTTCAAGCTATCGACACCTGGATCACCTCTAAAAACAAAAATCAATCAGCTTTGTCATTCAAGAGACTATTGCCATTAATATTACAGCTGAGTGTAATTTGTTAATTTATAAATTACTTTAAAACATTATGAATGAAATGCACCAAACTACACCTGTGTAAAAGCAACCATGTTTTAATTATGGGCTAAAAATGTCTAATACATTAAGCATGAATTATAAAAATCCAGATTCTAAATACAGTGCTAGAGAATTTCACAATGGGAAGATGAATGAAAATTGTTTTCTACTTACATTATGATTAACAGACTAGCAAATCTTAATCGGAATGATAAGGCCAAGACAGTAAAACCACACTTTTCCTATAAAAAGTTACACATCATCTCCTAAAGGGACAGCTATCATACATGAAGAAACAAAGACATATGGTCGCTCTACTGCACGCCCAGGAGCGCCAGGCACCCTCATCCTGGAGGGATCTAGTCATCATCTTCCTCTCCATCATCTTCAGCATCTCGCTTCCTTTTCTCTCCCCGAAGACCCTCTTCCTCTATAATGAAAGTATAAAAGACACTTAATTTTAACAAATGAATTTTTGTTAAGTTACAAAGCTTTTAATCTTAGTTAAAAAATTAATAGCAAGAGAAAATAATGATTGTTTCCACTCTGAAATTCCTTCCAATTTCAGAGTATAAGCAGACTCAAGAGAACCCAACAAACCACATGGACAAGCCACAACACACAGGTCAAGAAACTAAGTGCTTGACATCAATGTGACTTTTTACTTTTTTTAAGATTAATTTATTTATTTATTATGTATACAAGGTTCTGCATGCCCACCAGAAGAGGGCATCAGACCTCATGATAGATGGTTGTGAGCCCCATGGGTTAATTGAACTCAGGACCTCTGGAAGAGTAGCCAGTGCTCTTACACTCTAAGCCATCTCTCCAGCCCTGTGCTTCTTAAGGTAAACACCATTCTGAAGAACTAGCTAAAGAGGTAACTAAAGGGACACCTGGGTCCAGCCATTCCTCTCTAAACTGAGGCTCCCCGCTCTGCAAAATGAGATTCCAGAGTGCAATAAAGTGAACACAAGCTTTTACTTCATTTCTGGTTTTTGTTTGTTTGTTTGTTTGTCTTTGTTTCTCTGTGTAGCCCTGGATATCCTGGAACTCCCTCTGTAGATCTGGCTGTCCTCAAATTGAGATCCACCTGCCTCTGCCTCCCAAGTACTGGGACTAACGGCATTCGTCACCATGCCTGGCTTTTACTTCTGTTTCTTAAATACAAGTTAAAAGCTGGCTTTTTTGTTTTGTTGAGGCGGAATGAATATACTCTTTCAAACACTTCTCTACTTCTCAAAGGCATGTTATGATAACAAAAATCAAAGGAACCAAGGGTAATCCCCATCACACTCAGTCCTCAACATCCCATCCCATAGGTTATCTTTAGATTCAGAATTGCTTAATGCTGATGCAACTTACCCTCTTCTTCCTCTTCCTCCCCTTCATCAACATAATCATCATCATCTTCTTCATCCTTCAAATTCAAAGATTCAGTGTGAGAACAAACGAACCATACTCAGATTTTTACTGTTTAACAAATCCCAACAAGAATAAAGAAATTATAGTTCAGCTGGGTTCTGAAAAAGACAGTTTCTGTCTGCTTTGCTTTTGAACCTAACAAGGCATCTAGACTTTTATAAACATAGGCTATGCTTTAGACTAACACTGTCCGGGAGAACTTTTTGCAATAGTGCAAATGCTCTCTGTGCTGGGCCATGCTATGCAGTACCAAAGCCACCAAGGGCCAGTGAGCGTTTGTAATATTGCAGCACAAATGTGAAAGATACATTTGAATTTGAATTACTTGCTTGCTTGAGATAGGGTCGCATAATGCAGCCCAGGATAACCTCTTAATTAGTAACGGTATTGGCTCCACCCCGAGTGTGGGGATTACAGGCACATACCACTTTGTCCAGCTTACTTTTAAATAGCCACTCTGCTCACAATAACAATAGCAGGTCTTTACTATTTTAAAAATAAGCTACTCTACAGATTGAGGCACAGATTATCTAAATAAACCCTAACACCAAATACAGTTACATGTTGAATAAATAAATGTATTCCTCTAGACCTTAGTTTTCCAATCAATAAAGATGAACCAGAAATCTGGAACCCAAAATGTTCTAAAACTTTGAAAATTTTTTGATTATCAACCAAAAGGAGAATGCCAGCTGATCTCATCTGCCCCTCCCGTCAAATTACAAGTATATTAAAGACACTATAATACCAGGCGCAGTGGTGTGGTGCATGCCTTTTGAGGCAGAGGCAGGATCTTTGTGAGTTAAAGACAGCCTGGTCTACAGAGCAAGTTCCAGGCCAAACTGAGATTATAGATAGCATGGCCATCATTACTACCCTGTGTGTGTGCACTCACGCTTAAACATGCATGGTCGTATGTGTGGATTCATATGTATGGACACAGGTATCATGAGGCCAGAGGATACGCCCTGGTATTTTGTTCCTTAGAATTGCTATCCACCTTTTAGGTGATGGGGCCCCTCACCAGCCTAGACCTGCCATGTGGCCTATACTGACCCAGAAACTCACCTATCTCCATTTCTCTGAGGCTGGGATTACAATCACATGCCACCATCACAGTTTTACTGTTTGGTTTTGGTTTCTACCGACATGATTTCTCTGTGTAGCAGGGCTCTGAGTAAAGGATGCACTTTGATTTGAAAGGTAAGCACTTCACCAACCGAGCTATCTGTCCAGTCCCTTAGAGCCTATTAAAATGGGAGATGGTTTTCGCCCCTCTAAAAAATATATTGTCGCCATGTGTGCTCCTGTGTGGGGACATGCCATAGAACATGTGTGGAGGTCAGAAAACAACTTGGTGGAGCCAGTTCTCTCCTTCCACCTCTGTAGGTTCCAGTGACTGAATTCGGGCACCAGGCTTTCACAGAAAGTGCCTTTACCAGTTAAGTCATCACTGGCCCGTTCTCTCCGTTTTCTCTTTTTCTAGTTTTTACACCTTCTTTTATTGTCACTCTTTCAATTTTATTCTGCCAGACTCAGAACAGGGTACCAGAAGTGAATATACAAGAGACAACAGAATTATTTCAACATTAAATACTCGCCTACACAAACAGGGCTGGGAAGACTTTCATTACTTATATTTTGACTGCTAGAGTGTGGTAGAATATTATTTTAAAATGTGTGACGTTTGTTCTTGCTGCATTTGTTTAACTGTGAGAAGCTGTAATTCTCTGCTTGTCTAAAACACCTGACGGTCTAATAAAGAGCTGAACAGCCAACAGAGATGCAGAAAGGAGGATAGGCAGGACTGGCAGGCAGGGAGTATAAACTGAAAGAGAAAAAAAGCAGCAGCAAGAGAATAAGAAAACGTCAGGGCCAGCCACCACCGCAGAGTAAGAAGGAAAGAAAGATATACACAAGTAAGAAAAATTTTTGGTTATGAGCCTAGCCTTTAATGGCTGAGCCATCTCTCCAGTGGTGCACCACTACTACTCAACTTTGTGTCTTATTTCATGCAGATGACTCAGAATGTGATCATACAGAGATTGGATTCCCCAGAACCCACATAAAGCTGGGTTCAGCAATGTACACCTGTAGTCCTGATTCCTGCTGATATCTAAAGCTGTCCTCTGATCTCCCCATGCATGTCACGACCCATACTCACAAACATGAACACTCACAAAAACAGAAACATGCATGCATGCATGCATACAACATGTGCACTCTCTCTCTCTCTCTCTCTCTCTCTCTCTCTCTCTCTCTCTCCCTCTCTCTCTCTTTCTCTTAAAAATAAGATGGGCTGGAGGAGAAATGGCTCAAAGGTTAAGAGCACTAGCTGTTCAATAACCAGCAACCATATGGTGGCTCACAACCACCAGTAATGAGACCTGGTGCCCTCTTCTGGCCTGCAGGCATACATGCAGACAGAACACTGTACACATCATAAATAAATCTTTATCAGTGCGGTGGTGCCGCACGCCTTTAATCCCAGCATTCGGGAGGCAGAGGCAGGAGGATCTCTGTGAGTTTGAGGCCCGCCTGGTCTACAAAGTGAGTTCCAGGACTGGTTCCATAGCTACAGAGAAACCCTGTCTGGAAAATAAATAAATAAATAAATAAGCAAGAAACCAGGTGTGATGGCACAAGCCTGTAATCCCAGCACTTATGAAGCTTAGGCAGGAGGACCATGAGTTCAAAGACAGCCTGAGCTACACAATAAGACCCCATCTTGAAAAGGGAAAAATAACCACCTGTAGAGATAGCTCACCGATTAATAGTGAAGAGGACCTAGGTACTGCTTCCAGCACTTGGTTCACAAATAGCTGTAATTCCAGCTCCAAGGGATACTATGCCCTCTTTGGGCCTCGTAGTCACCATTCACACAGGCGGTACACAGACAGGCATGTAGGCAAAATACCCACACATACATAATAAAAATAAATAACTTTTAAGGAAAATAAAATGCATAATCAAATATGCCATTTCCTTCTTATTTATTTTTGATTACCAGAAGTCTGATGCTTACCTGGCACTTAGCTCCTAAAAACAAGAACTTTTGGGTTTATTGGTTTGTTTGTTCTGAGACAAGGTTCCTCTGTAGCCTAGGCTATCCTAGAGCATACTAGGTAGCCTATGCTATCATTAAACTCCTTGCCTCACCCTCTGCTGGGGTTATGGTGATGACCTACCCCATACCTAGCTAAGCTAAGACTTCATTTTTGAACACCCAAACTATCCTATCTAGAATGAAAATGCTTCCTGGCCCCACACAAACTTAATGCTATATATATTTCAGAGATTTCTGATTAATGCTTGGCCATGTCATTTTGAGTTAATATTCCCAAACATTCAGTAGAATAATATACCTAAATGTAAGTTATCCCACAGTTGGTTGAAAGTAACTTTTAAAACAGGAGTGGTGAATGTCTGTGTGATCCCAGCACTCAGCAGGCAGAAGTCAGAGGACCGCCACAAATTCAATGGCAGCATGCAGTGTATGAGTCTAAGGCCAGCCTGGGGTACAGAGTAAAATAAGTCCATCCCCACACATTCATACACTTCAAAGTGCAATTTTTAGGGCTGGAGAGATGGCTCAGAGGTTAAGAGCACTGGCTGCTCTTTCAGAGGTCCTGAGTTCAATTCCCAGAAACCACAGGGTGACTCACAACCATCTGTAATGAGATCTGGTGCCCTCTTCTGGCCTGCAGGGATACATGCAGGGAGAGCATTGTATAATAACAAATTGTAATTCATTTCAAATTTAAAAATAGTATCAGGAAAATAAGAACCATTCATCAGATATTATCTACCTAACCATCACTACCTAAGAAAAACTACAGATAATGATGCATGCTTTGTGGCATCTATCAAGAAGGCAAGTATTGGTCTTATCATCGGCATACTATAAAGGCGCACTGTAGAGGATAGCTCTAAGCTGTCATTGAGATCCAGCCTGGGCTACACAGCTTGTTCCATGACGGCGGGCTACACACAGAAACCCTTTCTTGGAAAAAAAAAAAAGGAGGAGGAAAGCTACTGGGAGATGCAGAAGTATAAAGCAAGAAGAGATAATTGGAGGGAACACATTATTCCAGGACTCTGCAGTGTCTATAATGTGCCAACAAGGAACTAGGTACTTTATAGACTCAGATTCATAAAATGTTTTCACCATCCCATGGCACTGGGGGCAGAATCAATTATCTGAGATAAAAAGCAACAAGCAATGACAGTTCTAATGGAGCCACCTTGACATCTGGCTGAGTCTGCCCATCTGAAGCCCACCCAAGTCAGAAAGAGGCAACTTTGCCTTTTTCTTTCTCTCTTTGGATGCTGGCCAAAACCAATACTTTTTCTGATAACTGGGGTCTCCATACTCCTTCTCTGAAGCCCCCTTCCCTGCCACGTGACTGCTTGTCCAAAGTGTGTCTGACCTCAATGCCAGCTTTGGTTTTTTTTCTCTTCTCCCCTCCATTCTCCTCCAGGGAGCTGCTGGGACTTAGAGCTTGCCTACCCTGGGAGTTTCTTGTTTTGTTTTTTCAATAAAACTGTCCTTGAACTAAAAACTAAAAAAGCCACCAAGTGTTCATGGCTGTCTGGATACACTATAGAGCGTCCAGTAAGTAGGAAGCTGGAAGAGAAGACGGACAGATGCTTACCCACAAGTTAGGAAATAACGCACAACTCACTTTACAGTACTCAGCCTTGTGTACAAATATCAAGTTTCCATTCACCTGAATTTCTTCTTTCATTAAGTATGAAAGGCCCACCTCCTCTTCTCCCTCTCCCACTTCTGAACCGGCTTCGTCCTCATCCTCCTCCTCCTCCTCATCCTCCTCCTCGTCATATCCTTCAGGTGGCCCAGCTTCATCTTCTTCCTCATCCTCCTCATCTTCATCTCCATCTTTAAAAAACATTTTAAAGATGAGCAAATAGCTGGGCACAACTTTAATCCCAGCACCCAGAGGCACAGGAGATAGATCTCAAGGCTAGCTAGTGAGTTCCAGAATAGCAGGAGTTACGTCTCAAAAAGAAAAAACCGGGCTGGAGAGATGGCTCAGCGGTTAAGAGCACTGACTGACTGCTCTTCCAGAGGTCCTGAGTTCAGTTCCCGGCAACCACATGGTGGCTCACAACCACCTTGAATGAGATCTGGTGCCCTCTGCTGGCCTGCAGGCACAAGACTGTATACGTAATAAATAAATAAAAATCTTTAAAAAAAAAAAAAAAGAAAGAAAGAAAAGAAAAAACCATTACCCTCCTCGTCCTCCTCTTCTGAGTCGGGTGCCTCGTTGTCCTCCTGATCAAATCCATCTAAGTATGTGATTTGCTGCAGCAGTTCGAAGATACTTTCTCTATAATCCTCCAGGTTGGTGATCTCACAGTTAAACAAGTCAAGACTTTTCAAATTTTTAAGATTTTGCTGAAAAAGTAAAGTTAGAGGTTACAATAAAGATTTTAAACACCATGTTCTTCAATTTTAATGGAAGATCTGAAAAACATATACTTGAAGTTAACGAATGATATTTTTTTTTCATTTTTAGTGTTTTGTAAGGGTCATTTTTCTTCTTTCTTTTTTTTTTTTTTTTTTTTTTTTTTTTTTTTTAAAAAATTTTTTTTTTTTCTCTGTGGCTTTGGAGGCTGTCCTAGAACTAGGTCTTATAGACCAGGCTGGTCTTGAACTCACAGAGATCCGCCTGCCTCTGCCTCTAGAGTGCTGGGATTAAAGGCGTGCGCCTCCACCACCCGGCTAAGGGGTCATTCTACCAAGCACAGCCAGCTCTGTCAGTCACCGCTGTGAGTCCAGCATGGAGGAACTCTGGCTGTCAGGACTGCACCCCTAGCATCTGTCTTACAGCTTGTTCTTACAAACACCTGAGGCATCTTTGCTGACAGAATCCATGCAGAACAGGCAACAACACACCAAGTGTGGGGTACATACCTATAACCCAGCCAAGGTCGGAGGATCAGAGTTAAGAGACCAACCTCGGCTACAAAGACCACACAACTAAAAGAACAAAAGGTGGCACAAGCACATGACAGTCACCTTAAACCAGCACCCAAGTGTCTCCATAGTTTAACCTCAAGTCTTTTGCTTTTTAAAGACAGGGTAGGGTCTCATCACGTAGTCCAACCCTCAATCACTTTATCCTCCCAAGTACTAGGATTACAGGCAAGTACCACATCACACCAAACTGCTTGAGATACCTGAGGACAAGGGCTAGGGTACCTCTCTACCTGTTGCCATGCCTGACAACTTGAGCTCAATGCCTGGAACCCACACCACTGGAGAAAGCCATTTCCAACAAGGAGACCTCTCACACTCACACACAAACACAGACAGCCAACTCTAATGAAACAAAATGTAACACGTCGTCCTCTCTCACACTCACACACTCACACACACACACAGCCAACTCTAATGAAACAAAAGTAAGTCTGGGCACCCTTTTTCCATTTTTATATTATTCATCTTCTGCTCCTATCATCAGAAAATACCTCTTAGTACCTCAAAAGGTACTATGTGTCCCCTTATTTTAGAAGAAAAAATAGGTGTTTAAAAAGATATTTGACACTTAAAATCAGAGTAAAGTCCTTTGTAAATAAATTTGTCTGGTGAGGGAAATAGCGGGGGAGAGAAGAAAGGGGAATCTGGGATTGGAATGTAAAAAATAAATAAAAACAGAAAAAATAAATTAATTTGTTGATGATGCAAAAATTATCTGGATTTTTTTTTTTACATTTTAATTATATTGAAGGGGAGTATGCATGCATATGCCACAAGCTTGTGTGTGTGTGTGTGTGTGTGTGTGTGTATGTGTGTGAGAGAGAGAGAGAGAGAGAGACAACTTTTGGAAGTGGGTCTTCCAGCTTGCTGGTAAGTGCCTTTAAAACTGAGCAGCACTGAGTGAGGCCTTTATTTTATTTTATTTTTGATTGATTGAGACTATGTAGTGGTATCTCTACATAGAGATAGCTGTCCCGGGATTCATTATGTAGACCAGGATGACCTCAATTTCACAGAGATCCACCTGCCTTTGCCTCCCAAGCACCGGGACTAAAGGCATGCGCCACCACCCAGCTGAGGCCTTTATTTTTAAGGAAGGGCTTCACTGCAGCACAGGCTCCACCTTGGTGTCTCCTCCTCTGCCTCAGTGTTGAGTGCCAAGCCCAGCTGGACATTTTAGTTAAAGAAAAGCAGCCATCTGGATCACAAGAGGTATTTCAGAAAACTCCAAACTTAAACAGAGATCAATAAAATAGAATATGAACAAACCCCAGATAAAATAAATTAATCCCAAAATGAAGTCCAGAGACAGTGGTTCTACTCACCAGGGCCTCCACTGTACTGAGGTCTTTGATTTTGTTTCCACTCAGATTGAGGTAGGTAAGATTTGGACATTTCTCTGCCAGGACTTCCAAGCCTCCAGATATTATATTGTCACTAAGTTCCAACTACAGATTCAACATGGAGAGAAAACCAAGAATCATGAAGCCTGAGGACCCATTTGAAGAAAACCATTTGTCATTTCTCTGACTTCCTCAGTTCCCATCTATCTGAAAAACAGATCAGAACCCTGCACAGTAGCTTAGCCGAGGTTCTTTCTGATGAGGGATAGTGGCAGATACTAAATCCAGTCTAATTTAAATTTCTAAGCAATGCTGAAACTAATTCCAAAATCATTTCTTTCTTTCTTTCTTTCTTTTTGGTGGTATTTGGTTTTTTAGCGCTCTCTGTGTCCCAGAACTCACTCTATAGACCAACCAGGCTGGCTTTGAACTCAGACATTTGCCTGCCTCCACCTCCTGAGCTCTGGGATTAAAGGCATGTGTCTCCACTGACCAGCTCTTTTCTTTTTAATTAATTAGTTAACTAATTATTCTTATTTTATGTGCATTGGTGTTTTGCCTGCATGTGTGTCTGTGTGAGGGTATTGGATCCCCTGGAGCTGGAGTCACATTTGTGACTGGGAATTGTGTGCTGGAAATTGAACCCAGGTCCTCTGGAAGAGCAGCCAGTGCTCTTGACCACTGAACCGTGTCTCTAGTCTCCTTCCCTTTTCTTATCTCAAGAAATTTAAAGATTTCTTTTCTTCTTCTTTCTTTCTTTTTGGTTTTTAGAGACAGGGTTTCTATGTGTAACAGCCCTACTAGTCCTGGAACTAGCTCTGTAAACCAGGCTGGTCTCGAACTCAGAAAGAATCCTGAGCGTTGGGATTAAAGGTATGCACCACCACCACCCAGCCTCAGCATAAAAACCATGGTGTCCACAAACTACTCCCAACTCACCTTTCGAAGTTTGTTTAAGCTGGGAAGCCGGGCCAAGGAACTTAATTCCACATTGGCCATACTGAGAAACTCCAGTTCTTTAAAGGTATCATTCAGGCCTTCAATTTCCCCATTGACACACAAACAGTTATCAAGGACTAACTCTGTCACCTGTCAGAAGAAACATATTAACAGTTAGTCTGCATAGCAATAGACCTGTGTCTGAACACTCTAAAAACACAAATATTAAAAACATCAATCCCGCTGGGCGTTGGTGGTACACGCCTTTAATCCCAGCTCTCGGGAGGCAGAGGCAGGCGGATCTCTATGAGTTCGAGGCCAACCTGGTCTAAATAGTTCCAGGTCAACCAAAGCTACAGAGAGAAAGACCCTGTTTAAAAAAACAAAAACAAAAACCTACCAAACCAAAATACCAACCACAACATTGGAACTTGGTAGTAAAGGGGGAGGGTCACTTTTTTGTTTTGTTTGATGGGTAGGTAGATAAGACAGATAGACAGACAGTGGTTTTGCCTGCATGTATGTCTGTGTACCCTGTGCATGCAATGCCCACGGAAGCAATGGGTGTCGGATTCCTAGGGCTGAACTTACAGACAGTTCTGAGCCACCATGTGGGTTGTAGGAATTCAAACCTGGTCCCCCAAAGACCAGCCAGTACTCTTAATTCCTGAGCCATCTTTCCAGCTCAGAACTGGGTTTCTTATTAGATCTGAGTTGTAGGCTTATTTTTATTTTATGTGTACAGGTGTTTTTCCTACATATGGATACCTCTATGCATACCTGGTGCCTTCCGAGGTGGAAGAAGGAATGGTAGCAGTTGGAAGCTACCATGTGAACAAGTGCTCTTGACTACTGAGCATCACTCCAACCCCAGATCCCAGATGTAGTAACAAACTTACCAGTGCACCTGAATAGACCTAATCAGATCCTGGTTCTCTGTCCCCAGTACAAAAATGTTTATTTAAAGGCTAAAAATCAGGAACAACAAATGCCATCTTCTCTACTTGGGTGTAACTTTGGCAATCATTATTCCAATGAGCAGAAATGGAACCATAACATCCCTTTTAGAGACCAGGAAGCCAAGGTCTAGAAAAAAAATGACTTGCATTAATAGGTCACACCCTCAGTATGGTGGGGTGTCTTGATTCTTAAGCCTTTTTTTTTTTTTTTTATTTTGCGTTGTTTGTTTTTTGTTTTGGTTTTTCTGTGTAGCCCTAGCTGTCCAGGAACTCACTCTGTAGATCAGCCTGGCCTCGAACTCAGATATCTGTGCCTGCAAACCCTGGGATTAAAAGTGAATGCTGCAACCAAAGGTGTGTGAAACCACCCTCCGGTTCATTTGTTTTTGAGATAGCATTTCATTATTTAGTCCTGGCTGACCAGAAACTTGCTTTGTAGATCAGATAGGCCTCAAACTCAGAGACCCATCTGCCTCTGCCTCCGGAGTGTCAGGATTATAGAACTGAACTAAAGGCGTGCACTATCACGCCAGGCACCTCTTAAGCCTTTGGATTCCAGTCTTATCCAGGGCTAAGAGAGCTCAGCAAGAGGCCTTGTACATCCAGTGTCAGAAACCCAGTTCTTCCGCCAGAATACGCCACTACACTGTCTTGGGACTCCTGTTTGCAAATTTGGATTCTAAAACAATACAACCCAGTTTACAAGTTTTCCAAGGAGAAAGTAAACTGGGCACTTTATAATCCGCCCATATAGCGGGCAGTGGTGGCCCACTTGGGATGCAGAGGCAGGTGGATCTCCGAGTTCAAGGTCAGCCTGGTCTACAAAGGGAGTTCCAGGACAGCCAGAGCTACAGAGAAACCCCGTCTTAAAAAGCCAAAAACATAAATAAAAATAAACTGTCTATATAAACCTGTTACTACACCATGGCAATGTCCCGCAATTCTCCAAATTGGAGGCGAAAGGATGCGGGAAGAGGCCCACATTTGCACCTAAGGCTTATGAGAAACTGCTTGTTTTGATTTGTTTTGCCCTGCTCGACAGAGTCCCACCTGCAGCCATCCTCCTACCTCGGCCTCCAAAGGCTGGGAATTACAGGTATCAGTCACCATGCCCTGCTGATGGACAGCTTTTTAACTTTGAGTTATTCCAGAATCTTCTAAAAAGCTCTAGAAAACTTCTAGTTCTCCCAGCGATAATAACCCTTACAGAAACAATGTTTCCTCCACCTCGCTCTCGGCTGAAGTCGGCAGAAACCCGCAAACCC